TGTCCTATTTATTTCACTTAAGAGTATCTCCTCAATGTGCATCCACTTAGTTATAAATGTCTCTAATTTCTCATTTTTTATGGCTGAGTAGTACTCAATATTATAAAGAAACACATTTTCTTTATCCAGTCTCCAGTTAATGGGCAATTGGGCTGTTACCAAGATTTGGCTATTACAAACACTGCTGCTATGAACATGGGTGTACATGTATCTCTGTGGTATAACTCTTAATTCTTTTGGGAAGATACCCAATAAGGGAACAGCTGTGTCAAATAGGACCTCTAATCCTAGTTCTTTGAGGTACCTCCATACTGATTTCCACAGTGATTGCACCAGTCTGCACTCCCACCAGCAGTGGAGAAGGGTGCCTTTTTCCTCACAACCCTGCCAGCATTTGTTACTGGTTGATTTCTTGATAGCAGCCATTCTTTCTGGGGTGAGGTGGCTTTTATTTTCTTTTCTCCAATGACCAGTGATGTTGAACATTTTTCCATATTTTTTTTGTTATCTCTACTTCTTTGTCTGAGAAATGTCTGTTCATTTCAGATGCCCGTATTTGGATTGAGTCTTTAGATTTCAGAGGTCTGATTTTTTAAAGTTCCTTATATATTCTATATAGCAGACCTTTGTCTGACGGACAGCTGGTGAAATTTTTTTCCCATATTCTGTGTTTTTTCTTCACACTATTGGTGGATTCTGTCACTGTGCAGAAGCTTTTTAATAAGATGAGATCTCAATTGTTGCATCTTTGTGCTAGTTCATATGCAACTGAGGTTCTGTTCATGAAAACTTTTCCTGCACCAATATATTCAAAAGTTCTACCTAACCTCTCTTCCAGCCAGTTTAGTGTTTTGGTTTTAAAATTTAGATCTTTGATTAATTTTGTTATTAGTATAGTGCATAGTGAGAGATAAGTCTAGTTTTAATCTTTGGCAAGTCAAACCCCAATTTTTTCAGCACTATTTATAAAAGAGGCTGTGTTTCCTCCAGTGAGGATGTTTGGCTCCTTTATTGTGAAGATGAGGTAGGTGAGTGTGTCTGGAGTTGTTTCTGCATCTTCTAATCTCTTCCACTGGTCCTCATGTCTGTTTCTTTGCCAGTGCCATGCTGTTTTTATCACAGTAGCTTTGTAATATAGTTGCAAGTTGGGAATTGTGATACCCTCTACTTGTTCTTTGTTGCCTAGAATTGCTTTTCCTATTCTAGGTCACTTCTTGTTCCTAATTAATTGTTGGATTGCTTTCTGAAGGTCAGTGAAGTATGCTGTTGGAATTTCAATTGGGATTGCATTGAATCTATATATGAGTTTTGGAAGTATGGCCATTTTCACTATATTGATTCTTCCTACCCAGAAATAAGGGATATCATTCCATTTTCTTATATCCTCTTCGATCTCCTTTTTCAGAGAGCTATAGTTTTCAGTGTAGAGGTCTTTTGCATCCTTTGTTAGGTTGATTCCTAGATATTTCA